GGACAATTATATACTGTATTTATATAGTGGAAAGTCAAGATGAAGGGCCCTGCTGGAGGCTCGCTAGCCTGATGTCTGTTTGCATCCCCTCTGCCGGTCAGTAGCTTGGCTGAGCAGAGTGGAAAATCGCCTCGTAGGAACTCTTTTTGTTACACAGAACAGACATACAGAAATAGGTCTGATGGGGGAGCTGTAGTATTGTGTTTTTTCAACATCCTCAGCTCCTTGGTCTGAGTGAAGTCTTGTATCCAGGTGCATACCGGAAAGAAGAGATAGGAAGGGATACAAATCACGGTTAAACTGGTGATGTGACAAACTTCAGGAAATAACGATATAGTGATATAATACTGATGGGGGATGCTGCATTCAATTTTGTAACTGTGTCGCTTTAGCTTTTAAGGGTAAGTGGTGGCCAAAATGTTTGTGGTTTTTTTCTGATTGTAAGGGGTAAGTTATCCATGGTATTTTGAGCAAGCAAGTACATTTTTTTTTCTTACGCTTCTTAGCAAAATTGCCTGAAATGTTCAGACTTGTAGAGCTTCTGTTTGTATGTTTTCTATTTGTCAGTTGTTAAAGAACATTGTGTTAAATAACACAGTGTTATTCTTGCATTTGTGTTTAAAATTGGTTTACTGAATGTGTTAAAGTGATTTTAAGAATTACCAAACATTGCGTTCTTCTGTGTGACTAAACTGCACTTTAGTTACCTTTGTGAAGTATTTTCATTGAATTTTAGTAGGCAGTCAGGTCTACAAAGAGTCTGGTCTTTATGTACCCTTGTGAAAAAAGAAGTTTGAGAGCATGAAAGTGGGGATAAAGATGTAGTGATGCAAAACTAAGGAAATCATTAACAATTCCTCTTTTTCTTTAGTGAGGGCATGACGCTTGGCTTTGTTTTGTTCTGAAAAGATTTGTGACCCTCCAAATTGGTAATTAGTTTATGCATAAAGATGTTAAACATAACCAATGAATAAAAGCGAATCGAGGTTTATGTGTATTTAAACAAACGAAACCTCTAAGGGTTTTGTGTGTGTATATATGCGTGTGTGTGTGAATACCTGACTGGTCCAGCACAGTTTCCAAATTAGACCAGGTTAGGGCAGTCTCATCTGATCTTTGCTGTTTGCTCATCTATGGGAAATACGGAGCAGATAAAATGGTTGAAGAAGGAAAGACAGAAATCCTTATTGGGGGGGTGCTGCAAAGAATCTGGTAATTACAGAATGTTTTGATTTCCCTTGTCCATGAGTTTTCTTGTGTTAAGAGTTGTAAATCTGTGTACAGAAGTATTATGATTTAATCAGATAATACATCAATTTTGTCAGTGGCAGTCAAAATGGTTATGAAGTGTACTTATTATCAAGAGCTAGACAAAAGAAAAAGTAAAATGTTGCATATTCAGGTTATAGATTCATACAGTCACAGAAGATAATTGCATATTTAATGACTGTTGCTATCAAGTGGTTAATCATACTAAGGAACAGCAGATAGCACATAAGCTACTTTTTAGTATCTGCTTTTTTATTTCAATTCATGTTATAGCACAATCAAATCAAACTGTCTCATTGCAGCCTTTGTACAAAACTTACTTTTTTTTCCTTTAACTTAAATTAATATAGGACTTTTATTTGGGAGATTCCAAAATAATTTACAGATATATCAGCTTAGGTACTGCTCAGAGATAATCCCTTTCAGCATCCCAGGGACTTGACCAACTGCTGGGCAAGTTCCTTTTCCTACAGATGGCCTTAGAAACGTTACTGTACAGTCAGATAAGGGAAGACCGTCGTTACATACTACTGCATACTGCTTGCTTCATGCTTGGCAGGACAGAGCTCCACGCTGACTGCTCAGTGATTTGAGTCTGTGGATCCCAGGGAGTAAAATCTGACCACATGGATATGACTATTGTTTCCTCAAACACTGTTTGGAAACAAGTTTAGAGGTAGGTTCATGTCTGTGGTTCTATAATGAAAGCATGTCTAAAATCTCTATAATTTGTCACAATTTTAGATTTAGTTCTAACCAGTAGGAAAGGAAAAATGAAGCACATATGGCACACAAAAAGTGTATGTTAAATTTCTTGTGGTGAGTAACAGATCTGAAAGCATACTGGGCTTTTGTTGGTGATTGAAGCTCTAGGAAGAGTCGTGGCTCAAATCCCATACAGCAAGAACAAATGTATATTTCCAGCACTTTAATTCCTGATGTTGACACAGTTTAAGACTGCATAGTAGTATCTAGCTCTTGTATATTGTTTTTCATCATTAGATCTAACAGCATTTTATAACAAGATGGATTAAGACACACATGTATCCTAATACGGATACAATTTAAATAAACATAACATCTCTGGAAATTTCTTTCTCCAACACCATTACTAAATGTGATGCATTTTTATTGTACTGAAGTTTTATGCACAAACTGGAATGTATCGTTACATATATTATTGCAGGTTTTATGAATCTGGAAAGTGAATGAACCAACTATGTCCTGAATATAATTAAAGATATAAAATGTAGAGCCATACATAATCACAATGCCCTGACACAGTGCTTAAATAATTAAAGAAGGAATCATCACTGATGTTTTTGGATCATTAGTGAGTGTAACTATCCCTTGCCTTGTTTTAAGGAACAAGAGTAAGTCTTTGAGGAAAGAATTTTAAAACATACGCATAGAGCGGACATGCCATTGTACATGTTTTCACTTTACTACAGCTTGCTTAAATCTGAAGTAAGGAGAAGAAAGGAAGTGCTGTTGTTGGTTGGGGTTTTTTGAGGGTGCGATTCTTTTCAACACTTAAATATTCTTGAAATTAAATCATACATAACATTTTTAGAAACAGTTCAGTATCCAGTAACACTGAAGAGTTACTCTTTAAGTCAAGATGAATAAATGCATGCGCAATGGAGCATGTTTGTTAATGTTGATTTGGGTGATCGTTATCACCGTCCATCTGTGATGCGTGAAGTCACTCAGCTCCAGCTTTGGGCATCTTAATGACTGTCATTACGTGCAGACACCTGGAAGTTCTGATCATACTCCTCTCCCGCTGTACCAATGAATTAGTTGGGGTTGCTTTTCCCTGCAGTTATGTCAATCGTAAACCAGCACAGTCCAGTGGAGAATCAAGACATTTGAAGGATATTTCATCAGTTTGCAAGTAATTTGTTTGTACTAATGGAAAAATGGGGCCTCAGTACATATGCTTATTTGTGATCAGAGGATTTGCTTCTGCAGTTTAGAGTAGTCTATCAGGTGATACCCCATCACGTACTCTTAAAATAGTGGCATTCAACTATTAATAGTAAACTGTAGCTTCTAAAAACTAATAACTTTTTTTTTTCCCCTCGATGAATCAATGATTGAGAGATACCAGAGGCAGACTAAAATTATAATCTGGCATGTAAAAAATACAGCTTTCTTGGTTAAATATTTTAAGTGGTCTGATTACCTCAAAGTTAGGTTTTAAGATTAATATCCTATTTTCTACTCATCTAGCTGCCTTCCTCAAGTGTGTCCTATTAACATTCATTTATGCTCTTGTTGGTTTTTGTAGGTAGCCAAGTAAAATAACAGCAGCTTGTTATTTTGATACCTTGATATTTTCAAGCAATTACAAATATAAACCAGGACAATGTAAAGAAGAGAAAGGGACATCCTAGGTAGTAGAAACATAGAATCATGGAATTATAGAGTGGTTTGGGTTGGAAGGGACCTTAAAGATCGTCTAGTTCCAACCCCCCTGCTGCGGGCAGGGAACATCATAAAGTTTTTGCAATTACTGATGCAAAATACAGGCTTCCAAGCTACTAGTAAATACTTATACATTCTCCATATGAGAAAATGTGATGTTATGTGGCGTTTGAAATAGGACCTTTCCTGTATTAACATATAAAAATATACTTAAATTTTTGAGAAGCAAGACAAGTCCTTGTTGGGACAGAAACTCCATTTGCTTATGTTTTGTACAAAGTAAGCCTACTAGCCTAAACTGCTGGCTTTCTAATGCTCTTTGTTTGAATGTCCATACAATGCGTGTAATTTACGGAAAAGAGGGTTCCTTTCTTAATTACCTTTTGTCTGTGAATCCCTGAAAAAGTGGTTGAAAACTACTGGCTTAAAATCTGTCCTCAAAGATTGGTGATTTTTTTTTTAAGAGATGGCGTTACAACAGCATCCAAAGGCAAATAACAAAGATGAGAGTTTCTGATCATTCTTGCTGCATTGTGGCTTCAAGTCATACTCTCAGTTAATTTTAACATTTTGGCTTTATTCTTTATATTAATCTTGAAAAACATAAAATGAGGCACTGATACGTTATGGCTTGTCAAAGTACCCTGTGCTTTGGTTTTCAGGGGCTTGACACCATGAGCCAAGGGAAAGAACTACTTCCTTGACAATGAAACGGTTTATCCTCTGTGTTTAAGGACAAACTGATATATAAAGGGTAAGATGACTAAGTCAGTGGAATAACTTAATTTCAGTGACGTTGGATGTTGATGATATAAATGTTATACTATGCCATTTACAACAACTACTGAACATCTCTCTTTAGCTGCACTGAGCTCCGCACCCGTGGTCTTGAATCAGAAAGAACTATTGCTTAAATCAATGGGACTTGTATCTGCAGATTTTGATCTCTAAAAATATTCTAAACATGTATTTTAAACCTGAAATAATAATAATTTAAAAAAATCTTCAAAGAGAAGCTTAAGTGGCTCTCTCGATATTTTCACAAAGCTGTAATCTTTGGATAAAAACCCAGTACACCAAATTCGAACCTAAGACACTTCCTCTGCTCCCCTTTCTGTAGGCTCCTGAAAGAATGATTTTTCTAACAGTTTGTCTTAACAATCAACTACTATTTTGAATGCAATATTAAAATAAATAAGATAGCATAGTACAGAGAGACATGCCTGCAAGTCATACACCCACTGTGCAACGAAACCGTTCCTCTGAAGATGAAGCAAGATCATTGAAAGGAAGAAGTTATTTTATAGACAATTTAGGTTTTGATGCTTTTCTAAGAGTTCCTTTACTAGTTTCTCTAAGGAGAAGAGATGCTCATCTATGTCTTCTGGTACGAGATTTCTGATAGAATTAGCGAGTTCAAACAGGTATTCTGTGTTTCTTCCACTAGGACCAACTGCATTAAAAATCTGTTCAGCAATCTCTTCCAGAGGTGCCGGACCAAGGTAGTTAGGGTTGTCACAAGTTCCGATGTATAACAATACATCAAAGGGTTTTACTGATGAGTCTTTTGGATAGAAAATGACAGTTGTAGTCCTGTAGCCTCCTTTCTCTCTGAAGTCCAGGTATGCCTTTACTTCACATTCTTGTCCAGCTGGCAATCTGTAAGCAACACCCCATACGCTCCCCTGTTGAAGGACATAAGAAAAGAAAATTCAAGCAGTGTTTAAAAGGGTACTCAGAAATTAACGTATTTCTATTGTGTTTAGGTAAAACTCTCTTAAAAAAATTCGTTTTCTTTTTTTCAGTCTTTTTATAGCTATTTCTCTTTGTAGAAAGAGTCCCAAATTAAAAGGGCTGTTTTATTTAGGAAATTTTCAGTCAAAATGGTAATTATGCACATTGATTATCCACTTTCCTGCTAGTGCTGAGACCTTTCTTACAAAACACTTTGTTGTTAGAATTAAATTTGAAGTACTAAACAGTCTTGGCATGGGCTATTAAAGAGCTGGCAAAAAGGATAAAAGGTATCTTCCTGACCTCACAGGATTTGTAAGTGAAAATTAAAATTGTAAATAGTGCCAAATGCAAAGTAATTTTGATGAGGTCCTTTCTCCGTTTAGTGGCAGTTTCATTTCTAAGGACCCAAGCATCACCTACATCTGTTACACATTCTTGGAGGGATGAGCGTGCTAATGTTACCACGCTGAAACCAAATACAAGAAGAAAAAGCTGAGATGTGAACCTTCATTTTGCACAATTAAGTGCGGCATATCTGGCACCTCAGCAAACGCTGTTAGAATAAATTTCATTACCGTCTTTGAGCATCTGAACGTTTCTTCACCCTCTTCACAGATAACATCTCTGAGAAAGTATTTAACTGTGATCTGAATTAGTTATACTCCCTTATCAAGTTTTACATAAACAAATCGGTGTGATTTGCACGGGGTTTTGTTTTGAAGTAGCACAGAAGAATGATGATGGTCTGTTATCCACTGAGGGCTACAAATTGTTTCTTATGAGTGCTGTTTTAAAATAAATGGTAGTCTATTTTGTCTACTGGCAACATCAAATGTTGATTCTTCCTGTAGCTAAGCAGGAATACATATCAGTGCTACAGTAATGATGACAAAGCAATTAATGTTTTGGCTTCCCCCCTTTTTTTGCATTTTATTAAAAAAATCATGAGTCATTTTCTATTACATGCTTTGTAGATGGTTACAGCAGTGGACATGCTGTGGCCAGAACAGCAGTAACGAGTACAAAAATGTGTTCCTTGCTTTCCCTCGGCCATCTGGGATGCGGGTTCATTCCAGCTGTCTGCAGGAAACGTGTTAGCTGTAAAAACAGCCTCTTCTGCGCATGTTACTCTGTTGAGTTAAATCTGCCTTTCAGACCTACTTTGGTGTTGACAGGAAAATATACATGGATGTGATGGAGGTGGGGATTTAAAGCAGACACTTTAAGTGCTACTGCTAGTCAATTAATTTAGTTTTCAGTACTGAGGATTCCTGTTTCAGATGATGGAAAATTATAATCCAGAAATCTGACAAGGAGTATGATGTTCTTTTTCTGTGTGGTTTCCTCTTAACTGGCGAAGAAATTCAGATGGAGCAAGTTAAAAATAACTCTCTAAACTAGATGTTTCCAAGCTGCACTATGTATTTTCACGAGTGAAAGAGAACACACAGGCTAGCACAGAGCTGAGAGCTGGCATTGTCAGTAAAAATACCACTGCTGTTGTCACCACTGCTTTTGGTGTCTGCGTGCGGGGGAATAATTGCTGTAGTCTGCTAAGACACCTTCAAAATAAGGTTACCTTTTTAAACCACAGAATGGGTAGCTAAAATTAAAGCAAATGACCTGTCCTATCATTTGATATTTATGTGTAAAGTGTGATTATCTGGCCACACCAGATTATGGGGAAAAGGGGGGGGAAAAAACCAAACCCAAACAAAACTGGTTTGCTAAGGGGAAAAAGTTTCTATGGTAACGAATAAGTTTGCTTAATGATACAAGCTGAGTGACAACAAACATAAGCAGTTTTTGTCTATATAGGCATCTGTGTAACATAATAGTATGCAGCATTACAGTAATGTGGACAACCCCCTTACTAGAAAGGTACAGAAAATCACAATGACAGACGGTGCATTGCATTTTGCTGGTTTTGCTAACTGCAAAAAACAGTTGAAGTTTTCGATTACTGCTAAACTTTGCGGCTGCTGTTTCAGGGAAATAGATCGGTAAGATAGCAATATGGTAACTGTATAGATAAGCAACTGTAGATAAAAACTAAGTACTACCAAAATACCCATCCTCTGTGGCCTTGCTCTCCCTCTGCTTCCATGCCATCCTTCCTTCCCTCCTGCCTCTAGCAGCACTAGTACCTGCAGGGATTCCCTTTCCTGGAGCGATGGGAAGCTGGATGGACACAAGGTACCAGAATAGAGCACACTGCTGGATGGGGGGGGGGGGGGCGGGGTTGGGGGGGGGGGGGGAGAGGGTCAGCAGGGAGTGGGAAAGCAATTGCATCCAGGGTGTACCCTGCAATAGCCTCCCCAGGCTTCCCCAGCCTAGCTGAATGCTTTTGTCCTAGCTGGTGAGCAGTCCAAACGAGAGCTCTCTGGTGGGTTAGATCCCTAAAAAAACCTGCAGGCAGTTGTAAAGATAGCTTCTTTACTATTGAAGGGAGTTAGAAATGGGTAAAATTTAGGTACTTCTATAAGCAGAAAAATCTTGATTTTCCTGCAGTGTACATGACTGTAAGCCTAGGTCTTCTTTCATCTCCCCTCCCTCCCCAGCCAGGGCACTCACTCCCCTTGCACTTTCTAAGTGAGAGCTAGGGAAAAGGTCGACAGACAAGCAAGAATGGTAGACTTGGGCCAATGACCGTTTTCTCTAAACTTTCACAATATTACTTAGAAACAGAAAGCACCCTCGTGGTGCTTCCTTAAGCATTTTATCTGCGTAGCAAAAAAATAAAGCAAGGGTATCTCCTTTTTGTCACTGCAGTGTAATCTTGATTTGTTTCTTATTTTGGGAGGGCAAGATTACAGTTATGACACAAGAACTGGGGTCTACTATTGGGGTATCATCAGCACTGTACATACACTGAAAGTAAAATTCTGCATTTTATAACAGGATAGCCAAAGTGACTATTCCAGAAAAGACTTTAACGTACACCTTTGGTAATAAGAGACTCAAACAATTTCCAGTTGCTTAGTTTTAGATTGATTGATTTATTTGAAACAATCAAGAGTAATTGGTGTAACTCCAAGAAATTTTCAAAGAACTTTTAATTGCACTAAAGATAACTCAGTTATTTGCTTGTAGAGAAGCAAAAATTAATAGAGACGTACTACACAGGCTGGGAATGCAACAGCACATTCTGTACGCTACAGAGACAGAACAGGAATACTATACCTCAGGATCTTCAACCAGAGTCACAACTCTTCCAGGCTGGGAAAAAAAAAAAAAAAATCAGGTAGAGGCTTTGACCCTAAATCATAAACAAACCAACCAACCAAAAGTAATGAAAGGGTCAGAGAACTAATCCAGGACAATCTCAAGAAGGTCTATTTCTTTGAGGTCCAGTATAAATATTTTCTGAGAAGAGCTTTTGATCTGTATTAGATAAACTATGATAAACAAAATGTTAAATTCTAAAGGGAAAAGTCTCTGCAAACATAGAAGTTAAATTAAGGGTAGTCATAAATGGGGAGCTTTTGAATGTCCTTGCTTTGCATATGCTGTTCAGACTCAATTCTATTCCTGTTCAGAATGGTGACAATAATTCATTAATGTAAAACTATCCTTAGTGCACCTTCTTTAGTCATGTTGCTTTGCCGCAGTACTATGCAATTTTTTTTTTTTATCTCCAGAGTGACAATGAGGTAAACTTTCTCAATTGTATTCCAAAAGTTTATATGCAGGCATAGAAAATAATGTAACACACAAATCTAGCTTGCATAGAACTAAGCAAGAGATTACCACTTCTGGCTTGGTTTGCACTAAATGGATTTTAGAAAATGTTAACTGCACACTATGACACATGGCAACTCCTAGGTTTAAAAGCACCTACCTAATTAGATGTTTTTGCAATCATACAGCAATACAGAAATCTGTTAGTAATTTTTAGTAGGCACCATGTCAGCACCGTGTTATTCAAAGTTGAAAAAAGAAGTTTATTGTGCAAAAGACTACTTCTCCCTTCTTTTCCCCCTCCCAACTCATTCTCCCTTACTGGGCAGAGGGAGGATACCTTGGTAATAGCTTATCTTTCCAATGAGTTATTTCTTGTGGGAAGAGTGAGAAGCCAGTTTGTAAATACTGAAGATAATTGTTAATTTGTTGTATAACCTGGGGAATAAAATTTTAAACCAGAAAACCCTATGGAGAGCTACATCTGTAGTTTAAAATCGCTAATTTTGGCATCAAAGTGCCAAAGGTAAGGGAAAGCTGAGACACTAGCATTCGTTCAATTCTAGTGTAGGATAGAAATTCATTTTCCTGCGAGTTGCAAAGATAATCTGAACATGATGTCCTTGGATGCATGCCTTTCATTTGGTCATAGCTAACTTAAGTCCCAGGCTATTGCATCTGGGTCTTTTAATGACTCATCACTAACAGTTTCATTGCCATGGCCATGCTTTTCTGTTTGCTAAGTCTGTACCTCTGCTGTAGTAACAGCGTAGGTTTTTCTCCTACACCAAGTTGTGGGCAAGCCACATGTTCTTTTGGTAACAAGCCAAACACAAAATCTGGTTTTTGCAGAGCACTTCCTAGATACTATCAACTGTAGATATTATTTATTCAGTGTCAGATCTTTTATAATCTTAAAGGGTGTTTATTTATAAGCTCTGTTTTTTCATTTTTATGCCAGTTCTCTCCCAGCATCAGCCATCTATTCCTGATCTGGTTGATAAAATAAGGCAACAATACTAATGAATACTAATTGATTGTAATGTGAGTACTTTGAGGAAACAGGTCTGTTACCATGATTAATCAAGATACCTTTTGGGAAAAGATGATATTAATGCCTTTATTCATCTAGTCTACTGAAAACCAGACTTAATCAGTGAATTAACTGGGGCTGTTTTGCTGGCATTCAGTTTATAAACTCAAAGTCCGCTAGTCAACACATTCAGCTAGAAATAGTACTGAAGGGTTCACCTTGAGTTAAGCTAAATCTATCTTTCACTGTTTATCTACAGAGCGTATCTTAACAAATCTATGCTGGATAGTAACAGTGAACTCAGGCAAGGTTTTCTCACCTTTAACAGAGGGGAAACTTCTGATGATCAGATGTTTTGCTTAATATTTTAGGTTTAACAGACTGGGAAAACAGACTGTCAAAACTGCCATGCTAAGATAAAAGACCAATGGTCAGTCAGTTAAGCACGCTGCATTTTTTAAACTCTATTCCTAGGCACCCGGTACTACTAAACACACACAGAGGCACCTACCAAAGAAGCTCTAGGCTTGTATATATATGGGGAGGGTATACGCACAAATAGGAATGCTCCATTCCATGGTACACTTCCTTATCTCTTCTGACAGCATTAAAACCTATGCTTAGGTCTGTCTTAGTTACCAGTACATCCCTTTTCTACCAATTTGTCCAGTTAGTTTTAGTCCTTTTATGTAGTCTCTGCCAAATCTCATTGTAGTGAGTTCCAAAATTTAAATACATAATTATTTTTTGTTTGTTCTCTTTTTTTTTTTTGAGCCTTGCTTTCTAATTTTAGTATTCCTAGTTCTGATATTCCTAGTTTGTTTGCAATTATACAGAAGTGATTCCACACCTCTCTCCGCTCTGTATTTCCGTGGTCCAGCTCTGCCATAATAATTGTGAGATGACGTAAGTGTACTACTGGTGCATTGCTAGTCACCTCCCCGATCAATTATTCACTTCCTAACCATTAAATTTTCTAATACATTCTTTTATGTGAATCATGTAGGCTTGCATTTCTGATGCCATTTTTTCTGAAGCTTGCACTAAAAAATGTGAATTCACCATTTATGAAAACATTTTTGTTACTTAGGTCTTTCTAAGCAAATAGCACTTTTTTTCAGGGAACACTGTTATTGCCTGGTAAAATTCAAGGTGCTTTAATGTACTATTCGGACTAAGCCTCTGAAAATCTTAGAGACAGCTAATGTATAAGTTGCCATGTATTTTTCAAGAAATGTTTATTCCTTTTTCGCACTGTTAATCTGTTCTAACAAAACTTTTTCCAATTTAACATCCTATAAACTATAAAATATGGCCCCGTGATTAAACGTCACTTTATAACTAGTTAATCGTCTTATTACAGTATGAGCTGAGCAGTTCAAAGTACAATTACAAGGTCAACCGAGTTTTGCACTAAAAGCTTGTAGCCATTGTATGTAAAAGTGCTCTGTATGTTTTTGTTGCGCTGATCGTGGAATGTTGGAGCAACAAGTGTTTTCAGGAGAGGTTTTTTTAACTTGCTGGCTACTATTTTATTGCTGTTCTTTAAAATGTGTCAGTACTGAAGGACTAGGTTCGCTTGTAGCTCACCGACAAGAGATGCAATTCCTCTCTGATGTCAAAAGATTTTACAGCAGAGAGCGTTTGGCCTGGTGAAAGGCCAGGAGGTCCCAGCTGTGTACACTGAGGGAGCCTTTTTGCCTTGCGAGTCATGGACTGCAGGAATACAAAAAGGCATGAGCTTGTTGACGCTGAGAAAAAGTGTACTGCGTTAATGCTACGTGTTTTATATAAAGCGTAAGATAAAATGCATTAACCAGACTACATAAATAATGACCTGTATCCTCGGTCTGTCCAAACAAGCATCTAAATAGAGATAGAACGAGGCACGGGCTTGGGCGGGAGGAGAGTTGTTTTAAGGCTCTGCATGCCTGCAGATGATGGTTCTGGGCACGATCTTCGCTGGGGCAGAAATACAAACGGGTAAGCTTCTTGGAACCAAGTACGTGCTAGCGGGTACTAACCTGGCGTTGCCATTTTGCAAGATTTCCAATATCTGTGCTCTGAGTATCGCCCTGAATTTCAGCTGGCCCAGCAGAACATAATGCAATGAAGTCACCAAGGATACTTGCAAAAAAGGAAGAAAAACTGGCCGGTGATGGTTTTATTCCTTTCTGAAGCCCCAAGAATAAGACTTTGTTGACTGATAAGGGGATTTGGGGGGTTTTTTGGTGTGTGGTTTTTTGGCTTTTTTTAAAGCCTGGTTTCCCAAGTAGGGGAGGCTGATGGGATCACGCTCTTTTATGCCCCACCCTAACAACTTTTGCACATGCTTTTCAATTCATCCAAATTCAAGAGAAATTTCCCAATGCTCATACGAACATAATCTTTGAAAAAGGATGACTGGTAGATGAGAAATTAGCATTCCCGCTGAGAAAAGCGAACGACAGCTGTCCAGTCGGGAGACCTAACCGAGCCAGCCGCAGGGCATGCCGCATCTCTCCAGCGAGGTGAGGCGGCGGCCGAGAGCGGGGCAGGTTTGGAGACAGGAATTGTGTGTATGACAGCACGTAAGCTGGGTGACAAAGCGAAGGCTTTCGACTCCCATCTTAAAAGCAACATGGCAAAGTGTTTTGGGGCTCGAGTTCAGAACCGGGACAGCTGCGTTTGCACAGCAGTGCTCCAACCTGAAAAATACGCCTGCCGAGCCTGCGTCCGCTTGCGCATAATTTGTTTCTTTGCAGTAAACTTTTTTTTTTTAAATATTAGATGCCTGATTTGTGCTAGTACCTGAAGCACAGTGATTTGCATTGCAGGAAACTGAATGCAAGGAGGGTTTGTATTATCTTTAAGTACTGTGCAAGTTACTTTATGGTGTTTGAGGTTTTAACTAGTGCTATTTAGAACTAGATGAAGATTTCTCCCATGCCGCGTGTAGCACGCTGTGATTTATTTTTAAAGAGAATCCTTATCCCTTTTCTGGAGGAGCTCCTTTTTGGAGTGGAGTTACCAAGGTGCAGGTTAGAGAACTACTTTAGGGAGCATCAGGAGAACAAACTTTCATGATACAAACCCAGCATTCAAAGTAGGTAAATTGTTAGAGAGCTGTGTGCAAGTATCAGTTTCTATACATTTAGGATCAGTTTGCATTTTTGATGACTAAATCGTGAGCAGCATCTGCAGCTGTAAATAACAGTCCTGCCATATCAAAGTCATTGATCTAACTTGCTGGGTGCTTCTGTAACCTATTGTTTCTTTAACATTTGTTGAGGTATTTAGAATTATATAAGGGTGATAGCCCTTCTATGGGGAGGGTGGGACAGGCTTCCAAAGCAGAGTAAGACTCTCTTATTCTCACTCCTGTGGCTTAAAAATGCATATGTTTGCAAGAAATTGGGACTGCTCGCTTCTGGAATTTTAGTTTCTTTTTCTTGGTGGCTTCTTTTTTCCTCTTCCAAATATTTCCTCCTCTATGAGTTCCCAGCTTTTTTTAATTTCAAATGAAAACCAGTGAGGTAGTTACTCAGATCAACGCTTCCGGCCTTTACTTATTAACCAGCCTTTCTCCTCAAAGCCTGACACCCACAACTGAGTATGTTCCCTTAGTTATCTAGATTAATGTCTATAATAACTAACTCTGTTATTTTTGAGCTATTAAAATGGACCGATCGTTATTTTTGATACTATTCTTCTCCTCGAAGTTCATTGTGTTGTTTGTTTGGGATTTTTTTAATTGATAGCACAGAAGAAAATGAAGTCTTGAACTTTAGGAAATACTTCTTGCCACAGTGAAGTAACTTAGAAGTGTAAGTGCATGTACTTATTAACCTCAGTACTTTGCAAAAGACGACTGGAGTAAGCGGCATCAGAAAGCATCAGTTGCTCACAAGGTGTGCTTTTAAGCTTCAATAAGAAAAGAAGCGGCGATCGCACGGACTGGAGGAGCGCGGCCGAGGTCCCCGGCAGGCGGGGGGGAGCCTG